AGTAATTTAATTCGATCTTGATTCGCACTCTTTTAGATACTTTTTTATTTCTTCAATTCTAATTCAGTGTAGTGCAAGTAATCGAATTCACCATAATTAACATTAGTCGACAAAACTGCTCTTCTTCTTGTATTCAGAAGTCTCATCGCGTTTTTCTTCACTCGCCGTATTGAAAAAGATTGTAAGATTCGTCGCTTCTTGGTGGTCGATTAATTCATTGTATCTTGCTCTCTGTTTACAGGCAAATATGCGTGAGGCTATTAGAAATATTGAAAGGTAGTTCAAACAATGATGATGACATAGACAGGAGAAAAAACGGCGTTAACAAAGTATTAAATGCTCCGGTGCACCTGGGCTCGTTGGCTGCTACCTTAGAGGCGCAAGTCGAGCAGATTAAGAGTATATGGGTTACAACTAGGGACGATGTAATGGTAATGTATAGTTGTACTTCATTTATTTTAAATAAGAAATGTATGATGCTATTTGCATTGATTGTTCTCATCTTTTATTATATTTTTAACTATTTGTATATTACTGACAATGAGTGCTTTCCATTTAGTGACACAAATTGACACAGTCATTCTGTCCTTTTTAATATTCATTAAGTAACAAAGATGACGTGATCACTTGATGAAGATCACTTGTGTCGACTTTTGTCACCCATTAGTTTCACATTTAAGTCCATCTGCAATCGTTGAATTTCTTTTGGCACAAATGAAATTTTACTTCTCAAATTTCTCCAAAATAAAGAGGGGCAGTTCTTTCCTAAAATATCTAGTTAAAGAACTATTTGGTAATGTATTAAAAATGTTGAAAAGTGAGCCTGAATTTTTTCATGTTTAAAAAAAATTTTTGGAACAGTAAAAGAGAGAGAACTTGAGTTGGACGGAGGAAAAATATGATTGCAAACGGAGGATTAATTATTTCTAGGCGTTATTTGTATGTTAATCTTGCTCGTTGTTGCGACAGAAAGTAGACGCTAAGAAGCTGGAGAAAGCTGAGGCCAAGTTGCAACAGAAACAGGAAAAACGAATCGTAAATGAGCAAGGATCGGCTTCCCGTATTAACACTGCCAATAATGCGGCTGAAAGCGCAGCCAGTGCCAGTCAAATGACAAGTAAGAAAGATAGTCGGATGGAGACAAAAGGTGGGGTGAACAAAACTCAGGATATCAGAATAGAGAACTTCGATGTTGCTTACGGCGATAGAGTCTTGTTGCAAGGTGCTGACTTGACGCTTGCATTTGGTAGACGATACGGTTTGATTGGTAGAAACGGACTTGGCAAAACCACCTTGCTTCGAATGATATCGAGGTATTATGGCGATATGTTATTACTAGTCGTTTTCCAGCAAATAAGCAGATGTCAAATACATTAAAAACGTCATTTTAATGTCAAATAACTTGAGCTTATTTTCTGGGAAATGATATCTCTAATTATTGCATATCAGTCCCGATTGATTTTAGCAAGCAGCTGAGAATACCATCGCACGTGCGAGTGTTGCACGTTGAACAAGAAGTAGCCGGTGACGACACGTCTGCGCTCGAGTCCGTTCTGGAATGCGATCAGGAACGGAGCACGTTACTCAGTCAGGAGGCGAAACTGCAAGCAGCGATAGAAAAGGACGGTTCCAAGACGGGCGATGCGTTAGGTGAGGAATTGGCCCGAGTATATGAGGCGATGCAGTTAGCCGAAGTCGACAAGGCGCCTGCTAGAGCAAGTGCGATCCTATCAGGACTTGGATTCTCCGTCGAGAAGCAGTCCTGGCCAACCAAAGCGTTCTCCGGCGGCTGGCGGATGAGACTCGCTCTCGCGAGGGCACTATTCTCTAAACCGGACCTGTTGTTACTTGACGAACCGACGAACATGCTTGATATCAAAGCAATATTATGGTTAGAAAAGTATCTACAAACGTGGCCGAAAACGTTACTTGTAGTGTCGCACGACCGAAAATTTTTAGACACTGTGAGTATGATATACTATATTTAGCTATGAGAGAGAGAGATATGTTGATAATGTAACTCTCCGCTAGCAACATGGAATTGTAACTCTTCTGTAACCAATAGGGGTCTTCGAGAAACAGCAAATTTTATTATTGTTCCGAGTTACATAAAATCTGAAAAAATGCTGGTATACTTGTCAAATTTTTAACTAGTTTCTACTGTCATAGAAGTCGGATTATATTTTACTTATTTTTTACAGATTTAAATTTATTTATCAGAATTTATAATCAAATATCAATAAAGATCTTATGTTGTCGGCGAAAGATTAATGTCATTTAAAAAAAAAATTTTAAAAGAGTTAATTGTAACGATTAAATAATTTTTTCGCTATAAATATACATATTTATCTTTATCTCTTCAACAGGTACCCACCGATATTCTGTACTTGCGTGGACAGAAAATAGAACCATATCGTGGCAATTACGAGCAATTTGTGAAAACGAAAGGCGAACGCGAGAGAAATCAACAACGAGAGTACGAGGCTCAACAGGCGAAGAGAGCGCACGTACAAGAATTTATCGATAGATTTAGATACAATGCGAATCGCGCGTCTAGTGTACAAAGCAAGATAAAGATGTTAGAAAAATTGTAAGTCTAACGATTTGATCGCACGAGTAATAATTCGTTAGTCTACGATCGAAAATTTACTTTACATTTTCTTTTTGTCTGTTATTCGACAGACCTGAATTAAAGCCAATGGAGAAGGAGAGTGAAGTGACCCTCAATTTCCCCGACGTCGAACCGCTAAGTCCACCGATATTGCAACTCAATGAAGTCTCATACAGTTACAATGGGACCGACATGGTATTTAGCAATGTGAATCTTACTGCCAGTCTGCAATCGCGCATTTGTATCGTTGGAGAGAACGGTGCTGGTAAAACTACCCTCTTGAAAATTATCACGGGCGCGTTCAGCCCGACGCGGGGAACGGTGCATGTACATCGAAATCTGAAATTTGGATATTTCAGTCAGCACCATGTCGATCAACTGGACATGCGTGTTTGTCCCGTCGAATTGCTACAAATACATTTTCCCGGTACGTATTCGCGATACAAAACAGACGCGAGGCCCATTTAAGAAATTTATCACTGTGTTCGTTCTGGCAGGTAAACCAATTGAGGAATATAGACGAATGCTTGGAAGTTTCGGTATAAGCGGTAATTTAGCTTTGCAAGTCATAAATTCTCTTTCGGGAGGGCAGAAATCGAGGGTAGCATTCGCTTTGATGTGTGCCGCAATGCCGAATTTCCTAGTGCTTGATGAACCTACGAATCATCTCGATATCGAATCGATCGAAGCGTTGGGTAAAGCCCTCAACAACTGCCAAGTGAGTATTAATATTTTTTATGACGACTGTCAATAAGACTCAATTTCAAAATTCCTTCATTTCATGTATCTGTGATTATGTGTGTGTGTAATTCAATCAATATTTTATTGTTGCAGGCTGGTGTGATATTGGTGTCGCACGACGAACGTTTAATCCAAATGGTTTGTACAGAATTGTGGGTTTGCGGAGAAGGATCAGTTCGCTGTATCGAAGAAGGTTTCGATGAATATCGCAGGATTATTGAAAAGGAGCTTGAATTATAAAAAAAAGTTAAGTTTTGTCTAATGTGATATTAATGTCATCTTACGTTGTTCTATCAAGTAATGCATTATGATGAAAATTTTAAAGGAGTATCCCCTTTAATTAACTAAAATTATATCACATGGCTATCATTTTCTTTCTTTCGAGACATTTCATCGCCAAAGGTATCTTATTTATTTTTTAAATAATTTTTCCCCCATGTCAAAACAAATATAGGCAATTATGCGTACGATTTATTTATTAATTTAACGCGTCTCTCTTTTTCTTTTTTGATAACTACATAATGCCCCAAATAAGAATTTGTCACTATGAAGATATTTGTGTATTTATCTTTCTTTAAAATACATTGTATTAAAACAAACCGTTCGACTATGACAGTTGATATGCAATAGAATTTGAAGATTTACACATTTAATATTATCATTATAAAGAAAGTAATAAAAGATATTGTTAGATAAAAGTATGTTCTATTTCATTTGAGAATATATCTGTTACCATATATCCTGCATGTATATATAAAGATTGTATTTTTATTATACAATAGTAATATACAATATTCTTAAGTCAACGAATTGCTGCTATTTGTGTATGTATGTGCAATCGTTTATCATAGTATTGAAAAATAAGTTGCATGTTTATATATTTTGGCCTTTGTTAATGTCTAAACAAATAACTATCAATGACCAATGAATTGTCGTACATCGATACAATGTATACGATAAAAGTATGTTCTGAATTAATAATTTTGACGTGATATTTATTAAGTATACAAAGATAAAAAGTGGAAAAATATAATACAACGATTAAGAGAAATAAATGAGTATGTTGTTTTTAGAATGAAAATAAATGTGCCTTCCGCTTAAATCTCTTTTATAGATTTTTGTTGGATAATAACAGACTTAAAGTTTCTAACGATTCTTTTTATATATATGTATGTATATATATATACACATATGTGCATATATATAAAATATATATTTTTTATATACATATATATATGTATATATATATGTGTAATTATAATATATATTAAATATATTCTTTCTTCTAAGATAAACTGTACAGAAAATATTGTCTAAAACGTTTTATTGTATAACTGGGTTCGCAAATTCGGAACTCTTTCTCTCAAACTTTTTATATACTCTGCCGATTCACACCTTTTCACGCTCACTTAATTTAATATTTTATTTTATTGTGGCAGCATCAAGAAGTGTTTAAACAATAATCAATGCACAAAGCAATGATTTAAGTATGCACAGATTTCAATATGCCAAAGAAGTCGCATTGTGTTGCCACTGTTTACTTCCAGACGAAGTATTTAACGAATGCAGGGTGCTAGGAGTAGAAGACGGTTGAAGTGGAGGAGCTGGTGCTTGTTGTTTTGCTGCTGTAATTGTTGAAATGCCACGATTACTTTTCGAACGAATCGATGTACGAGCTTATAAATTCCATTATGAATATCCATAAAAGTGCAATTAGCAGCATGCAATTTAATTTATACATATATTTATGCCTGGTTATAAACAAATATGAGCTATTTGTGTCATACGCATTTAGTGCCTTCATGTCTGTATTGTTCTGGAAGATAGAGAAGCAGCGTCAACAGAAATTAATGCTTTGAAAGAAACCTTGAAAAACAACATAAAAAAACTATGATGTATATAATACATCATGTTTTATATTTATTAAAATATGTGTATGAGTTATTTACGCATTCCACGAGGAATTATATTAATAAACTTTGGCAGCATGCATGTATTCAGGATACGATTAAAGGATACGGGTATGGATGTGCGGCAATGTAGAAAGCACTGTTTGTTTAGTTTTAGAACTAAAAGAAGAAAGTATAAAACAAGTGCTATGGAAATAAGTCAGAGAATATTTTGAGCCAACTATTCTTACCATTCCTGATAAATCTTGGTGAAGCCCCTGAAGGGTTCCGGTGGCGGAAAACTCGACACGGTATGAAACATGTCAGCAAATCGCGTTTCCAAATCGACAGAACCAGCTTGAGCGCCGCCGTTGCGCACCGACAGACTTCTAGTAGGAGGCGTCGGTGGTGGTGGCGGCGGCGGTGCCAGTCTCTGATGCATGAGTGCGGGACGATGAGGAAGCGGTGGTGGTGGTGGCGGTATACATGGCGCGGTTACCGTTATCCTCGACGGTGGTGGCGGCGCCGCTCTCATGGCTGTCACGGGCAACGTATGCGACCGCGAGGCCGGTGGTGCTGGCGGTGATGGTGGTCTCGTCGTAGGCACGATCGCTCGCGAGATCGGCGGTGACGGTGGCCTCGTCACGGGAGGCCTGAGAATTCGATTCGCGGGCCTCATAGGCTGCGGCGTGGTGGCTTCATTCAAACAATCCTGCGACTGGTGCAGAGAAGACGGTGTTGTTGGCATCAAGACTGGTGGCGATCGTGGTAATCGCATGCTTTGTGCTCTCGCTACGCTCGCGCTACTCGTTAAATTCAGCTTTTTAGGCGGCGGCGACGGTTTGTGCAAGGTGGCAGACGACGCTAATTTAGGCACGATGGTTGATTTCCCGAATCCTCTAGGCGTAACCTCCGGAGTGCTCGTTGCAGAATCGGTGCTGCTTTGCCCCTGTGCGAGATTAAATATTTTACAGATACATGCACGATATATATGTGAGAAATCGATTAAGCAGGTCGTTTTCTACCTGACTGAATAACTGCGGTTTTTGCGCGGCTGGTGGCGGAACTGGTGGCGGGCCGCGTTTTATGCTGTAGGACGACCCGGGTGACGAGTGAAGAAAACTAGAATTATTTACACTTTGTCCCTCCTTCTCGGTCATGTGTCCTCTCAGTCCAGTAGGTTTCAATTTTGGCATACCACCCGCGAATAAACCGCCGAGCGACATGGGACCACCATTACTAGAATTACTGCTGCTGCTGCTGATTGCACTAGAACTATTAGTTCTACTATTGCTTAATGAAGAGCTCGATGATTCGCCTTTTACTCTCCCTGCGAAACAAACGTTTCTCATTAGTTCCTGATTTTTCGCAACAATCACTTTGTACACTTTTGCTCTTGAATTTAATAGTTATATGCAGACCTAGGATGCTTTCTAGCAAGAAACAGACGATACTAACGAAACATCCTTGTTATTTGCCAATATTAAACAAAGATAAAATGATTCGCTGTGTTCCTCTGGCTACTTTCCTTTTAAAGACATAGTCGACACAAACTATATCAATCTATTCTTGATATTCAATGAATCCTTCTTGGTATTCAATGAATAACAAAGACAAAATGACGCTTATGTCGACTGTGTTTCTTAAAAGGAAAGCAGCCAGTGTGAAACAATGAATCATTTCATCTATATTTAACACTGACAAACAACAATTATTAATTTTATTGTGTCTTTTACTGGACAGCTTAAGTAAGACGCAAGTGGTAAATAAAGTGTGGGCAAATTCTTGTGTCATATATGAAAAACAATTAAAATTATATCGTATGCACAATTACATGTATTGCCAAGGATTTTCCATAAATGACACAATAGTCGAGTGATGCTTTGTCTATCATATGTTTTTGCTCTTGGGCTGATATTCATAGTTGATTCTTATATTTAAGACTGTCTTGAGTAGTTTCAAGTCGTGAATCAATCATAGAACGCATAAAAACATCTTGGGACGTTACTTAAGACTTGAAATAAACTATGGATATTAGTCATAGAATTGTATTAACCTCTTAGATTATCTTAAGACATTACTTAAAATAGTCTTAAAATAAGAACTAGCTATGAATACCACCCAGAGGCCGGTATTCATAGTCAGTTCTTATATGCAAGATCGTCTCAAGTTCAGCCTTGAGGTGTTATGAACCAATAAGAGAGCCGCATTAGCGTATTAAGACATTACTTAAGATGGTTTTGAAATAAGAACCGACTATGAATACCGGCCAGAGAGCTGTATTAGCATTTTAAGACATTATTATTTAAGATGGTCTCAAAATAAGACTGGACTAGTATTGATAGGACAGTATTGATAATTGATTCTTTAGTAATGTCTTAAGATCAGCATCTTAAGCAATGTCTTAAGCCTTCTGATTAGCTTAAGACTGTACTTAAGACAGTCTTAAATCGAATCAATTACGAATACCACCCAATGAACACCGTCCTTAGTATATATAATTTAATTCCGATAATTTACCAGCAATTGTAGGCGTGCTCTTATCCACGGTAACAGTCTTCTTCAGAGTTTTGCCTGCCCTTATGGACTGTAGTAATAAACCTCTGTTATCGCCCATCGGCGGACCAGCAGAAGCGCCAGCCTGCGGAGGCGGTGGCGGTGGTGGTACAGACATTCTTGCTATCCTCCTGTAAAAAACAACCAAAAATGTAACACTGATTTCACTTTGATACAGGAAAGAGAAAGAGGGACATACATAAATTACAGATTTGTCAAGAGAAAAGTGTCAAACATACCGCGATACGATAGATATATCTACGGGATCTAGCTCTAATTTGACGGCTATTATTTACGGTTTACGATTTCGGTTCGTTCCACCGAGATGTGTCATTCGCTGGAGGGGGGGAGGGAGAGCCGAGAGGGGGAGGAGGGATCGCCCGATTCCGTATTCGGAGCGCAAGTAGAGAAGATGCTCCAGGAGTCGACGGAGCCCTCCCCCCGGGGGGTCGCCCGGGCGACCGGTGTGCGTGCGGACCACCCGCTGATGAAATTCCTCCGGTCCACGGGTTAGGTTTTCTCACGGCGAGTTCACACGCGTACGCGCGTGCGGGAGAGAATAGGGGCCTTGATCCTCTTCGCGCGGGCACACACCTCGACAGCCGCTTTTTATCTCTACCGCTGGCTCTCTACGCGACGTCAAGAGCGCGATGGACGGACGTTACGGGATGCGAGCGATTACCGGATTTAGACGGCGGTCGTTGATGCGTTCACGTCCGGAGGAAGGATCCGCGGCCGATGGTACTCATGATTAAAAAAGGGGGCCTGGCTGGCTGGATCCGCGCCTACACGTTCCGCGGCTGTGCGACACGGCGACGTAGATCATGGCGTCATCAAGGATCCATCGAGGTTGGGGGCTTGAGGGTTCGGCTCCGCGCGCGCCCGCCCGACCGTTTTCCAGCTGACTTCCAGAGCCCTCTTTACGTAGATAAAACCGAAAACGTTTTCCTTTCCTCCGAAAAACAGATATTATTATTTATCGTAGCACTTAACGAGTTACTTCAGAGACGAAACATTTTTTGAGGTCGTAAGTAATCCAAATATAATATGACTGAAATATTTCAAGCTCGTCTAGTTAATTATTTAAAATATTAGTGCCTATCTAAAAATAACCTAAAAAATTTAAAAAACTTTCTCTCCGTTCTGTATAAAATAATATAATTACTTTGTTAATTTTTTTTTTTTTAATAGAATAAAGTTTTGTTAATGTTATTCTCGAATATTATTCAGGTTTTATAAAATCAATTGTCACTTCGGAGGCGAAATATTTTTTTAAGTATTTTAAATATGATTAGAATATTTCAAGCGCTCCTCTAGTTAAAAATATTATTTCAATCTAAAAATAATCTAAAAATAATCTAAAAAAATTTAAAGACTTTTCTTTATAAAATAATATTTATTTTGCGTTAATTTTTTTAAGAATAGAATAGAGTCTTTTTATTATTAAGTCTTATAAAATTAATTGTTCTATTAGATGGAGCCTATGATTCTAGGATCACCAGTGAATAGTCCTGTCCAAAGTCCTGGTAGTCCAGGAAATTCTTCCTCGTATTTGCCAAGTTTTCTCTTGGGTGACACTAACACTGTGAGAAGTATATTTTATTATTAATTTGAAACATACAAGTCTGCGTTGCTAACATCTATCTTTAAAAATTCCAGCCCGCAAAGATCAACATAATGAGCCCTCAAGATAATCCACGCCACTTGAACATCACCAATACCAGTGTGATGTCATCAGTTTCCTACGGCTCTCCAGATTACCGGTCTAATCGTCAGAAGGCAGTGTTTGGATCTACGACTCCTAGCACGCCACAAATAAGCACCAAAAATCATACCGGAGGGCCGCCAACGCGAGGACTATTCGATACTCTGGAAGTTACGCACATATCACCATCTATGGCAGCCACAAATCCAGCTGTCACAGCCACGCCTATAAATCAGTCCAAACTCATGATGAGTACTTTAACCAGTCCACTGATGTTTCCAGATACTTCGTTCAATTTGAGCACGAGCGAATCGCAGAGTCTACTGCAATGGGTAACAGTTTTCGGTTTCTTACCGATCGATATCAATGCCGTTCTGTCTCACATCTCCAGCAGAGTTCGTATAGTGGATAAACATCCGGCTCCACAACCCCAAAGCAACTGGATACATTTGAAGTGTGCGTCAGAGCAAGAAGCGCAAAAGGCTCTCATGTGCAATGGTAGTATCGTTTCGGGCACAATTATGATTGGCATCATACCATGTACGGACGAGGGCGTCGTTCTGGGTTGCGACAAGGAAAACCGTGCCAAGCTGAATGGAAGCATGAGATCGCTTTCAGTGGGCAGAATCAGTCAATCCTTTAACGCGTCGCCTACCGCGAGACGACGGAAGCTAAGATCTTTAGCAGCGGGTTATAATCAACATTTTAGCCCACAAGCCGCGCAGATGCCGGAAAATGTTCCACAGAAGTCGGCCAGTTTAGTTTCAAAAGCAATGGAATATATGTTCGGTTGGTAGTTGTTTTTTTTTTTAGTAATAATTATACATTGAACTCTTTACATTGGAAATATATTAAAAATTGTAGAAAGGAAACTATGATAAACAATATATTAATCTTTTGGAAGGACTTTTTAAGCAGAACTTTAACTTAAAGATTAAACGAAATTATTATCTATTATCCTAAAAATAAACTTTTCTATAACTTTGAAAATCATTACTATAAGAGCGTCTCTGTTAAGGCTGTTACTTTTTTAAGATTATTGTAATATGCATATTATCACATGTTATATTTGTATGTATCTTTACAATTATATTATCTTGTATAGGCTAATAGCCGGAGTCATATGTAAGTCTTAATTTGCGCGTGATATTGCATGTCTATTCCTAGTAAATATTACATGTACACAAAATCTGAAAATACCTCTACCTGTTATGTTAACATTACATTCCGAAAGACAAGAAATAATCGCAATAATCATTTTTATCTCTTACAGTAATTGTAACAACGATGTATCAATTTAATCATTACATTCTTATTATAACGGATCAATAATTCTATATGACATCTTTCTCTCTAATTGTTATATAAGATTAAAATTCGGATATAATTTCCTACACAAAATGAATAGCAATTTACACAAAATTACATTTAAAGGTCAATTCAAGACATTCATTTATCGCATTTATAAATAAGGCTGAGAAACGCTCTCAGTCTCTGTCTACTATAAAATTATTTTGTATCTTCAATTGTGGCACTACCTAGATCAGTCATCTTGGGATATTTTACTTTTTTCTTGTCTAATTCTTCTTGAGCCCACAGTATCATCTTCAACAGATTATTGAGACGAGGACTGGTAGATTCTCTATGTTCCATTTTCAGTATAGCAGCATTCAATTCGCTTGCAATCTATAATGGCACAACAAGAAAAAACAAGATTAAGTTAGCAAAAAACAAGGCTTATTGTAGAACGTAAGCAGTAAGCATACTGGCCAATTACAGTAGAAACTATAAGGATATAATGTAAGCAGTATTCAACATGTTGATTTTTTCATGGACCATCTACAATAAGAGTAATATTAGGTCTGTTCTTTTTAGCTAAAGTTCTTGCACGGCACATTTTTCTTCTCCATGTTGGAAAGAAAAAGAGAAAAGATGAACCGTGCAAGAAGTTCAGCTAAAAAGAACAGGCCTATTGTGTAGTAAGCCATAAACTGTAAGAAATTACTAATCATAGTCGATTATTCTCCTCACATTCAACTGTGATTGATCAATTCCTTAAGGAGGTTCTTGCATTTGATGAAATAAGACGAATCTATAATATACATGTAATACAAAAGTTAATAATATCAATAATATCTAGAAAAAATTTCATTGACTTTTATCGTACCTTTTTTATTTTGAAGATATTTAATTCTAAATTTATAGAATTTTACATTACAAATTGAAGGTATAATCTTATTTTGTAGTTATTCTCTTTTAAATTGAGACACTTCCATATAAGACAGCAATTTAAAAATCGTTATAATTATAAAACAAACACTAAATTTGTTCTCGTAAAGTTTAATCTAAACTGACCGTACAGTTTACAAGAAATTTATATTCTTCAATGGAAAAAGCTAGAATATATGTCAAATGGACGATGCATATACATCAAATGAGCATTACAACTTTTATTTTGTCATTTTGAAAATATTTAGTAATATATAAAATTAACAATAATTATATATAGTGGCATAAGATATTGTTAGTAATCTTTTTATTCCATTATTTTAATTGTTTTATATATTATTATGAATAAACTGTCTCTTGACTAAGAAGTAGCGCGAAAACCTCCTTAAGACTTACAGTTTATTGCATCATATATTCCTCTTTGGATAATATCATATATTACTCTTTTTGCAGACAGTCCTTTATTATTTACTGCTCAAATTTTTTAATATGCTATGGTCCTAGTAATACTCACTTTCTGTCTGTGTGTGGGATGTAAAAGATCACTGAACGGACTCTTATGTGGTTCGTCAAAGGCCAACAGTGCCAATGTACGTTCCAACTCGCACAATATATTATCATCTGACTCGCCAGCTTCGCTGAGTTGATCCTGGGCAAACTGAAGTGCCTCCTCGACTCTGCCTGTGCGTATCAGTTCAATCAAATGCAACTGTTGCAGGTGAAAGTAGAGATATCTGTCGTTGTCCAATAACTCAGGATGCAGCTGATTCACCAAATCTGTCGCTTCCTGGATACGACCGTTCTGTATGGCGTCTCGAATACGGATCCTGTCATCCAGAGAGCTCAGTTCCACCGTCGGACCTACTCCCGACTCCTGTTGGAACTTCTCGGCAGCTTCCTTGAATCCTTCTAATCATCGAAATATTTTATTACCTCGACAATTCTTTTAGATTACAATAGAATCTAGAATTTATTACCTGTGACTAGATAATTCATGATTAGATTGTTCATTGACATTTTTTGTATGTAGGTACTTTCTTCCAGTTTCGATATCCATTCTTCCTTGAGTAAGCTATCCAGTCCTTTCTCTGAGAAATTCATTGTTTTCCAAAGATTCAATTCAACTAGTCTCAGAAGTTAACACTTAGAGCATTATGCTCTATCTGGTACAATCTTTCGAAAAATCGCAACAGCTGATTAACACGAAACGTGAAAGCTCGATCAAAACAAAAGGAAACGTCACTTTTGTCACTCCGCGGTAATTCTAAAGTTGCTGAACTCCCGGTGAAAAAAACGGCGAGAAGCGTCGACCAGAGGATAAAAGTGATTTTGCGTGTGCAGCGCAAAGATATTCCGAGCGTTAAGATTATCTGCTTTGATTCGCGAATCAGAGCAAAATCGAGAATCTCTCAAGAGCACCTTAACGTGTAAAAAAAGGACAGAAACGAAACACTTGTCATTAAACGGAGCCGACCAATCGTGATTTAGCATTCTCGAAAATTCCTATTCCCCGTAGCGATGGCGATCGTGATTGGTCCATTCATTTATCATTCAAGCCCTCCCCCTCCCACTGTATTTCGTGCTGCAGTTGGAATGGTTAAGCGGGGAGCACAGACTTTTGCATAACGCATAACATGTAATGCATAAGAAATTCAATCAATCAGAATTCTTTATTTCATGGAAAGGAAGGAAACGGAGGGCTTTGATTGGTACATAGGCTGCGTTCAGCAGAACGTTTATTTTGCAACTGTTGGAAGTTTCCTTCGCGCTAATTGGATCATATTTTTAGATCTAGAAGAATGGTCCTATCTCAGCAGACAATCATAAAACGGTTGCAAAACTGTTGAGTCTGCTGAACGCAGCCATTTTCTTATGCATTACGTGTTATGCGTTATGCAAGAGTCTGTGCTCCCCGCTTTAAGGACTGCGCACAATAGAACAAGTATTAGGCCGAAATCAGACTACGCATTGAAGATTGAGATCGAAGATTGAAGATTGAAATTTGACCAATGAGGGCAAAGGAATTTTAGTTCCTATTGTTTTGATTGGTCAAATTTCAATTTTTCAATCTTCAATCTCAATCTTTAATGCCTAGTCTGATTCTGGCCTTAGGAACAAGAATAAATATTAAGATTTGAATCTATCAGATACCAGTTACACTAGAATACATGGTTTCTGATAGGTTGAAATCTCAATATTGAGATTGAAGATTGAAAGATTGAAATTTGACCAATCAAAACAATAGGAGCTAAAATTTCTTTGTCCTCACTGATCAAATTTTAATCTTCAATCTTCAATCTCAATCTTTAATGCTGATTCCGGCCTTAGGTGATTCATCTAGCTTTTAAACTGTACTTACATGTCCCTTCGTGCACTTTCATGCATTAAACTTCTACAACAAATAAACCCGTATTAAACTAAAGAACACATAAATTAAGCATTCGTACATACAGTCACTGCACATAATGGAGGAAATATTAAGAATAGGAATAGATATTAAGATTTCAACCTATCAGAAACCGTGTATTCCGGTGTAACTGGTATCTGATAGGTTAAAATCTTAATATCTATTCCTGTTCCTAATATTTCCTTTATTGTGCGCAGGGCCTTAGGCCGGAATCAGACTACGCATTGAAGATTGAGGTTGAAGATTGAAGATTGAAATTTGACCAATAAGGACAAAGAAATTTTAGCTCCTTTCATTTCGATTGGTCAAATTTGAATTTTTCAATCTTCAATCTCAATCTTCAATGCATAGTCTGATTCCGGCCTTACGGCCAGTCTCTGATTAAAGGGTCTCTATCGGCAACTACCCCCACTCTTTTCCCACCACGCGCTACGCGTTGATAGCGCAAGCCAAAATCTGGCACTGCGCTAGTGTACGATTATCGGAGAAATTTACTGCAGTACAATCTGGCTACGATAGATGACACTACAGTAGATGATCCGAAATCGTGGACGAAATCCATAGTCCGGTCTTAGGGCGCGTTCACACCTTGACGGAAAAGCAGAAAGCGGAAAAGCAGTGGCCAATCACAACTCGCACTGATAGTAAGTAATACAAAAAGCCGAAATTAGCTGCGTTCAGCAGACTCAACAGTTTTGCAACCGTTTTATGATTGTCTGCTGAGATAGGACCATTCTTCTAGATCTAAAAGTATGATCCAATCAGCGCGAAGGAAACTTCCAACAGTTGCAAAACAAACGTTCTGCTGAACGCAGCCATCAAATACCAGCGAGAGTTCTGATTGGTTGCTGCTTTTCCGCTTGCTGCTTTTCCGTCAAAGTGTGAACGCGCCCTTAATCTCAAGCAATTGCTGGATTCACACTGCATCCGATTTTCGTCGTACGACGAAAATCGGATGCAGTGTGAATTCAGCAATATTAGCACAAAATACTACTATCGTACTGTTACGATATTGCCACGAGATGGCGGTGTACGGCGTAACTGTACGGCCAGCGCTGAAAATCTACAGTTTACATCACGTATGCTATACATTTCCAGCACTGCCAGTGAATTTTGGAACACAGCCATGGTAACAGTATAAAAAGTATACGTGATATCATGGTACACCGTATCAATATTGTACCTGTACCGCATATATGCA